GATGTCGGGTGAAGTATGTGCTAATTTGTCACCCTTATTCAATAAAAAAATGCTAGTCCGTAAATATTTTCAATAGATGTTGCCATGTTAACAACTCAATTAATTAATCATTGGCACCAATTTTCAAAGATTTTTCAGAAATTTTTTGTGGAGAGTATGATCGTTGACCCGTGAGCGTTTATTCTTCGGTCCGGAAAGGACAATACTATGATAAGAAACGAGAACCGGGAATGACGTTATTGATGTTGAATTAGAGCTGTCATATGTAACTTTTTGGATGATACGGTTTTGGGATCCCACAGGCAGGAGAACTTTGCACCCACATAAGGTTCCTGCATTAGAATGATCGAGTTAACCCTACAGTGTGCAGTGGCTGTGCGTAAACATTCGAGTCTTGCGCCCGCTTATGATCCAGGTTATACTGTTTCATTTTGATGTTTTTCTTTATATCGGAGGAACCGTGTTGTGCCAAGTTTGACCTGTCGTTGTCTGTATCTTTACAATATGATACTTAGGATCTTGCGATTATATCCCATCTTTGCCATTCTTGGCATTCTGGGCTATATGCAGGATGCAATGGATTTTCGTCATCATCAGGCAAACGGGTTGTGTAGTTCGTAATCATCACCTAAAAATTATCAACAACATAAGTTATAATTTCTGGAATCTATTTAATGGAGATTCGACCCAGAATTATAACTTATTGAATCGGAACTAGCTGTATAATCTCGAAAAATCTTCTAAATATTCTTCGATAATGACCTCGTTAGCTATTTATCTCGCCGGTACAAAGGCGGCATTGATTATTACCCGAGTCGTTGAACTTATTGATGCACTTACTCATTCTTAACTATGAAGGTCGCACTTCTAGATGCCTCGTCAAATCGGTGCGAAAAATTCCGTAGAGATATAGAACAAAAAGTTACATAATGATTTCTTATATTAAAGCGAACACTACATATTACATCAGACCTGATAAAGCACAAATTCTCGCGAAAGAACATCGATTCCTACCAAAGGATCATCCTTGACGTGAGGCTATTGAAATTAAGAAACATCCTAATTCCAATAGAGAAGGAGGGTGGGTACTACCACCTGCTTGGGACCCTGTACTTAATTAATAAAATTAAAACTAAACCCAAGCATACCACTGCAAGACTTTTGGACACAGTAAGTTCATTCTGCGTAGATCGGACCATAAATAATAGTTAAAAATTGAAGGTACTACGGATTAACACTGACATCGAGACGTCGATCACCTCAGTCCCCCGTGACCATGGGTGCTGAAAAGCACCCGAAACGTCGGGAATTAAAAATCATATAAATGAAACGCGATAAAATCCGTAAAAGTAGTTTTAATGAAGTTACTTGGACTATTATTATTACTATATCCTTATATAGCAGTACAAATGTGAAAGTTTATCTGTTTGGTCGGTGCTATTTAATCACACTTAAACTGCTAGATCACCATTAATCGTGTAGTGGCGTTGTGAGAATATCGACTACCCCATATTGTCCCGTGCATGAGGGGTGCCAAATCGGAACACCAATATATCTCGACAAAATGCATTTTGACTCTTAATCGAGGATAGATATCTATAAATAAATAAAAATGTTTTATTTTCATGCATCGTAGGCCCATAGCATGTTAGTAATACAAATAAAACTTAAGAAATAATGTTAGTACACGAAACAATTAAATAAAACACAAGAGAAATAAAACAAAATAAAAATTCACAAAATGCATACAAATTGATAGATTTATCAAGTTCAATTTAGTACATGTAGCTTGACAAACATACCTAGTGTCGGGCCATCGAGTCGCTCAAATGGATGCCGAGACCCATAGATATCTATCACTTACCATCAGGTGGAGAGTGTGCTCGTTCATCACCCTAATTCTATAAGAAACGGAACGAAACAGAAGACTAAGAAAACGTTTAAAAATTAAGACCACTTTAAAAATTATGATGACATTATAGTGTCGAGGTTACAATTAATTAAAATATATGTTTATCGTACTTCCGGATATTTAGAAAATATTTAGCCTTGTTAAGGTCATCTTGAAATTATAATTTGTATAAATCAGTTATCGGTTTTCATGGTTAATGTAATGTTCAAAGGAAGTTGAAAATTTGATTTTATAATAACTACTATAATATGTACAATATGTCATTTTATGGAAATATCAGGAAATGTATGAGGCGCCCGTCAGATGACAGGGCAACCATTTCCGTAATAACCAGAACATAGATTCTCAGGCCAGGAGTTTGACAAGCGCGGCAATCACACCAACCGTAACCGTAACCGTTTACGAGCACAAAACTTTGATATATTATTTATTAATCTGTGACAGAACACTTATCGTGTAAAACAACTTACAACAAGTGGTTAACTTAAAAAATTTGTACAAACGACTTCAATATAAATAAAATGGAAACATCATCAATGTATTCGAAGTCAATTAAATACGCATTATTAAAGATATGTAACTCAAAAACTACTGGTCAGATCTTGATCATATTTATATGGGACCACACGAGAAGCACCAGCTTTCAAATTAAAAAAAAAATCATCAAAATCAGTTTACATAGAAAAAGGTTCTGAGGTACACATTAAACAAAACATACAGTCGAATTGAGTACCTCCTCCTTATCTAAGTCGGTTATAAGGAACTAACATTGACTATTGAGTAATTGTATACAGGGCATCACACTCGCTATTATATAGTCGGAGTCAATCGATTCTGACTTATATATAAATAAAAGCATAGTATTGTACTGCGATAAGGTCTTTGTTCAAGTTGCGTTACACTTTGCACTCGGCGATATTCAGTATTAACAAAGTAAATCACGCATCGCACTAGTGACTTGTGCTTATTGTAATATAGTTCACGTCGAGCGTATTTTATGTCAATGACATGCGAAGCTCGCCTTGGTGAGTCACCACACAGTGTACAGTGAAGTAATGGATTGCAGGTCTTGTATTCGAATTCCCGGCAGCAAGACACAAGAACAATAACGATTAGACACTAAAATTCGTGCTGGTGTGCAAAAACTAGGCATTTTTTACGTAATAAAAGAATATTAAAATGATGGTACAAATTAAGTATGAGCCATCGACCTAACCCTAACCCTAACTAGACGACAAATTGTACACCATTAATTGAGTAATATTAAGTATAATAAAAAAATTAATCAAGCAGTGTTCAAATGCACAATAAATCACAGTTTATTTTTGTGATAGCAGCACGCACGCACGCACGAACGCCCACGAGACTTTTTATTTAAGACTGGATTTATTTTTTTATTAATTTTTGTTTACTGTGTTATTTTATCTTGTCACTCTTTATTCTTAAATTTATCGTAAACTTGTCTAATTTTTGTTTCTAATTTAGGGGGAGGAATTGACCGTTAGTTTGGACATTAAGAAGGCCTTTGATCAGGTTGGGCATAAAACGCTTCTTTCAAAGCTCCCTTCCTATGGGGTTCCCAAAAACTTGTGCAATTGGATCACCAGTTTCATGCAGATCTGAGCATCAAGGTCGTTGTAGACGGTGCATGCTCCAATTACATGCCTATTAATGCTGGTGTTCCACAAGGCTGCGTACTATCACCAACGCTGTTTCTTCTGCATATCAATGATATGTTGCAAACCGGTAACATCGATTGGTATGCGGACGACAGCACTGTACATGCTCTATACACCGGCCGTGCCAATATTTCTCGAAAAACGTGCCTAGTACCGGAACAAACTTGTTTCTGAAGTCGAGTCTTTGCTGAACAAAGTCTCGGTATGGTAGCGACTAAATCTAGTCTAGTTTAATCCTCAGAAGTCACAGGTTTGCGCGTTTACCGCTAAAAAGAACCCCTTTGTCGCGTCTCCTCAGTTTCAGGGGGGTGCCCTTGAAACTGAGTTTGAGGAGTTTTTTTGAGGAGTTTTCTTCCGCCTACGACCTCTCTGTGGAATCGTTTACCACCGGCGATTTTTCCGGACTGATACAACTTAGGGACTTTCAAGAAAAGAGCTTAGCTTTCTTTCTAAAAGACCGACAACGCACCTACAATTCCCTTGGTATTGCAGTTATTCATGGGCGGCTGTAGTCACTTTCCATCAGGTGAGCCGTATGCTCGATTGCTCTCCTATTAAAAAAAATACAAACATGCTCTTCTATTTTCAGTTGTAAAACATCATGTTAATTACGACGCCTTTTGCTCTTATTCAGTATTAATCCTTATTGAGATAAATATGTAAATTACATTATGGAGGTTAACTTAGGTATTAAATTTTAGTTATAATTGTGTTTTTTTACATTTTATAATTCTAATTAATACTTTAGAAGATATTACGCGCAACCGTAAAGATAATTCGCAGTCGATGCTAAACTTAAGGTAGGTACTATGAGACAATAAAATTATTCATGTTTCATGCTTGGCGCACTTGCTTTTTTATAAATTTAGTTGCTAATTTTTTATATTGTATAATTGTCCATTCAATGCAAATTGAAGCGGACGATTTTAAATTACAATAGTTTTATTATAATTAAACGTTAACTTCAAACAAATTAAAATAACCTTGACTATTTAGATATTGGCTTCTTTTACTTGAGACCACCTGAGGTATCCACTTACTAACAAAAAAGAATCATTGAGATCGGACAACGTGGCAAAGAATTATCGCTGAAAATACATAAAAAAATATTCCGACGAATAGAGAACCTCCTCTTTTAGGAAGTCGGTTGATTATGTTTTAATTAAACTTAAAAGCATAGCAGAGCTTTAACTATTAAACAGATCCATAATAATTTCAGCTATGATATCTTTTGTAAATAAATGTATCATGACTACCTGGTTATTGCGAACAACGATAATAATATAATTTGTCATAGAAATAAATATCATAATCAATTTCACACCATAGCTCTAAGAAAAGGGCTCTAAGCTCTAAGAAATTTAAACTCAGCACGCAGCTGCAAATAGACATCGTATGTCAGTACTTACCCTAGACATCGGCGCACAGCGTGCACATGCAAGTCCGGCGGGGGGACGTCGCGGTGGCTGCGGCGCCGGGACCACGGGACCCTCCTTCACTCGGTACAGGGATGATGTCCGAGTCTGCCGACAAAATCACTTACTCAAACCAGATCTTTTTACATAAAACTGAAGTGGAACACAGACTTACAATCTACCTGCTTGTGGCTGCTGTAGTTTACGTACACCTGCAGCCAACTTAAAACAAAAGTTTTTTTATAGAATTGGGTGACAAACAAGCACACAGACCATCTGATGGTAAGTGGATGCTGTGGCCCATAGATACATCCACATTTATTCTCAATTAAGAATCAAAATGCAAATGCGTTGCCACCTAAGATTAAGATGGAATGCCTCGTTTCCAGTAAAAAGGGCCTCCGGTTCTCTACACTCACCATACGAAACTCAGAAGTATTACTGGTATTTTGTGAGAGCGTGGTCCTGCCCCGGTTGAGCCAACCCATTCGCGCTACAACTGTAATATAGCTGCAGCGTGGCTCTACCACGTTCAAGAAGAAGGTTACAGAATTCGTTGTCACCGCTGAGAATTAAGATGCTATGTCTGACATCCTATAATTATTCTGGCTCTCTATACCCTTCAGACCGGAACACCGCAGTGCACGCACTACTATTTAGCGGTGGAAATACTAAGAGGGTAGTAGCTAACAAGATTAGTGGTGTGTTGTTGTCGAATTTTCGACGGACGAAACACAACCCGACAACGAAAACGGTTGCAGAAAACGGTCGTCGTTGCAACTGGTTTTAGCACGCACTACTATTTGGCGGCGGAAATAGATAACATTAAGAGGGTTGTACCTAATAAGACTAGTGGTGGGTCGTTGTCGAATTTTCGACGGATGAAACGCAACCGTTTTCCCGACAACGAAAACGGTTGCAGAAAACGGTCGGCGTTGCAACTGGTTTTAAGACGGCTTAAAGGACAAAACGTATTCAACATGAAGTATAATTGCGTTTTCGTCGAGTGCAATGGAAGCAGTTGTCTACAATTTTCAGCGATTTGAAATGTATGAAATGGTTTACTAAATAATTCGTTTTAATTCGTTATTCGAATTAAGGGGAAATATAACCTCAAATGGCTTAGCAAGATCCTACATTATGCCGAAAGTATTGCAGCATTAATTTTGAAATAAATATATGGTAAAGTTGAGGATTAATGTTAAGGACCATGTTAGACGAAAACACGATTCCTTATATTTTCTCGATAGAAAAAAAATCCAAAGTTACCTCCAAACTGAACAATAAACCGCTGTTATTCATAAAATACTTTAAATAAGATCATGAAACTTTGCATACTACCTGAACTAACTATAAAGCAGTGCTTATGTTATTTACTTTTTTTTAAATACCATTATTTTCACTGTAAAAAGAAATTACCTAAACTATCGGCGTCTTGAAGCTTGATTCCTGTCGCCCCGTTAGTATCGCTTAGGCTTTTGAAGGGAGAAGTTGCGTCAATACGCTTACGATCAGAATACACATTACGCAACAGGACGACGTAAAATTAAAATGGGAAATAACCGTGATAAAAATAAGAAGCGACTGGGTTGGCGTTAAGAAACAGGCATAAATATGATAAACCTAATGAAATAAGTATCTAACGACCTTTCTACTTACAGTATTAGTGATTACAAACATGTCGGTACATAGCATACGACGCGCGGGGAAGTGAGGGCAAAATTTGAGCTGACTTACTATATCCCCTTAACTTAACGATGAAATGAACTTCCCTTCATACATTTCCAGGCTTAGGACTGGCTGGGACAGATTTAGCATTACCATTAACATTAGCGACTGTATTTCATAGACAAATAGTTCATTTTTTATTGTAAAGACTGTTTAGTCTCCGTCTACGTTTGTAAACAAAGGCCGAAGGGGCGTCCATAAATTACGTGAGATGTTTAAGGGGGGGATGGGGTCGAGTCAAATCTCATCTAATCTTACGTTGGAGAGAGGGGGGGAGGTCTCGGCAAATATCACGCAATTTTTTTTCTGATTGAAACAAAAAAGTGAAACTGGGGGATAAGTCGCTCGCGTCCGTAGGCTTTGACCACCTGTTCCTAGGCCCACCCTACACGTGGTCCCCCGGGTGGTGCCAAATGAGCGACAAGTCGATACCATAGACTCGGCTCCACGCCGTGGTAGCGGCGTTAAATATACCACCCCATTTCGCACCATGAGAAATCGAATTAAAGAAATGGCCCCGAGTTCCCGGCGCCCCTTTAATGGGGCAGGAGTGCGAAGAATCTTCGGGAGGAAAACCGGCGACGAGGTTATAAACCGGTTGTAAACCACTTTTTAAACAGTTAAAACTTATGACATTGTGTTGCATGTACGTGTATGAAATTGGAACATTTGTAAAAAAATATCCACATTTATTTCAAAGATGTATTGATAATTATACAGATAAAACATTTCCGCATAGAGATGTTACAAGATTAAATTTACGAAAGTGTAAAACTGTCTTTTATCAGAAGAGCTGTCCTAATATGTGTATAAGAGTATATAATAAAATCCACAGCGATATTCGAAAATTGCCATTTAACTTCTTTCAAAAAACATTGAAACAATGGCTTATTCAAAATTGTTTTTATTCCCTAGATGAATTTTATTGTTATAGACCAAAGTGATATTTTAATATAATCTTGACTTGCCTTGATAACTGTTGACATGTACACCTTAACTTGACATTTTTTATTTTTTTTATTTTATTTTATTTTGGTATTAAGACTGGATCAAATTTTGTATTATTTCTTGTTTATTGTTAACTTCTATGTATATGTGTGTTATTTATCTTGTGAGATTTTATTCCTAGGTTTATCACTAAATTGTAATTAATCATAGATATCCATAAAACATTTGTATAGCACTAGACTGACAATTATAAAATTGTATATTTGCATGCCACTGGCGAAATATGATTGTACCATACCAAATTATTAATCCTGTAACTACCATATTTCTTGCAAATAAATCATTATTATTATTATTATTATTATTCGCCACCCGTCACGTTCTGTCTCCCGGAGAGGCGAAAAGTGGATTGCAGAGGCCCGTCTGGCTACGTTGAATGTATGTGGGGCAATGAATTATAAAATGGATGAAGTATGCGATATGATGCATGATAGAGGAATAGATGTGTTATGCGTAAATGAGACGAAAAGGAAGGGGAAGGATGTCACTACACATGGCATGTATACCGCATACTGGTCTGGTGTAGACGAGATCGAGCGGGCATGCCAGGGAGTAGGTATCATCCTTTCAGAAAGAATGGGCCAATGTGTGAAAGAGTATGAATGTGTAAGCCCAAGACTGCTATGGATACGAATGAAAGTGGGCTTAAAGAAGTTGTTTGTGTTAGGGGTCTACGCCCCAGACATGTCTAAGCCCACTTATATCCGAGAGCAGTTTTGGGAAATGGTAAGGATGGTGTTAATGAAGTGTAAAGGAAATGAAAATATTATTATGCTAGGAGATTTTAATGGAAGGGTTGGGGTGAGGAGGCTTGGTTATGAAAGGATATTGGGAACGTTTGGTGATGAAAGTATAAATGAGAATGGTGAAAGTCTCCTCACCGTATGTATGGAAAAGAATCATTTTGTGACGAACACTTGCTTTCGCCACAAAAGGATTCACATGTATACTTGGGAAAGAGGTGACGATAGAAGCATGATAGATTTCATAATTGTGGATGAAAGATTGAGGGCGGTAGATACGAGGGTTTACCGGGGTTCTAACGTAGGAAAGGATCATTATTTAGTTTTACGCCGAATTAATGGTCTATTCAGGCGTTGGCGCCATCGATCGTCTGTGTCTACCACTGCGTTACAGCGTATTAGAACAGAAAGGTTACAAGATGAAAGTGATAAAAACAAGTTCAAATGTAGACTGAAAGAAAATATAAGTGGTTTGGATGAATTATGTATGAAGAAGTTAGACTTGGAGAATATATGGCAAAATGTGAAGAAAGGTTTAGTGGATGCAGCTACAGAAGTATGTGGTGTTAGTAAGAGAAAGAATGAAAGGAAAAATAATACGTTACGGTGGGATGATGAGATACGTATAGAAGTTGAAGCAAAGAAGAGAGCATGGCTAGATTTACTAGCAACAAAGGCTGGTAATTCGAGCGGTACGAATGGTGATATTGAAAGAAAAAAGGCAGTCTTTAGACATCTTAATAAGAGAGTAAAAGAAGTAGTTGAAAGGAAAAAGCAAGAAAGAACGGATAAGAATGATATAAGAATATCGGATAACCTCCAGGCAAATATTAAAATGTTCTGGAAACTTGTAAGAACTGCCAGGGGACATTCAAAACAGTCTATGATGAATGCTATAAGAGACGAGAATGGCTATATTCTGAATGATGAAGTTTTGGGTTTAAAGAGATGGAAGGAATATTTTGAAAGCGTGTTTATGAGTGAGGAGACAACGTGTGTACTAAGTGAAGTAGAAACACCGAAAGAAGAGGAAAGAGGTAGCGAGATAAGGACAGATGAAATAATGAAAGCAATGAAAAGCATGAAAGCAAGGTAAGGCTGCCGGATATGATAGAGTTTCACTCGAAATGCTAAGGGCTGGAGAGGAAGTGGTGGCAGGCCTGCTGCACACCTTGTTTAATTTATGCTGGGAACTTAAGCGGGTACCGGTAGACTGGTGCAAAGCCGTGATAGTCCCAGTATATAAAGGAAGAGGGTCGCAGCAGGACTGTAAAAACTACCGTGGCATCAGCCTTCTTAGCATTGTGGGAAAACTGTATGCTAAGGTACTGATTGAAAGGGTCATGAAAGAAACTGATGGAAAAATTTGGGATGTGCAAGCGGGATTTAGAAAGGGAATGGGATGTACAGATCAAGTCTTTCCCATGCGCATGATCGCGGATAAGTTTCTGGCCAAAAACCAAAAGGTTTTTTGTGCGTTCATGGACTTGGAAAAGGCCTATGACAAGTTAGGGATTTGCTATGGCAAACACCGAACTCATTTGGGTTGAGCGCTGGCTTGATACAGGCATTGGAGTCTCTTTATAGGGACTCTAGTGCTTGTGTTCAGAGGATCAACGGGGTCTACTC